GCTAAAAGTCAGGTGAGGACCAAACCTTAAGTGTTACTGCTGCTTTTCGAGTAACTGGTAAGTAAATATGAGACGGAAGCTAGGTAGTTTGCATCTCTTGTAATGTTAGGTACTTTTCTCCTGCACAGCCGAGTGTCAGCAGTAGGATACAAGCGTGGCATTTTACTTTCGTATTATTTATTGATTATATAGATGTACAATCAACTTTCAGAAACAGCGCTGCTACCGCCCCCTTTTAACGGTGGCCCACCCATGACAAGATAAATTTACGAAAGTAGAAAACAAACAACAGCAACCTACGAGTAGATCTATCAAAATAGCGAATAAAATAAAGGTAATAGAAAAATGTTCAGCTCGGTGACCTTTGTTAGTCCTTGGTCGAAAGATAGAACGGTCGTCTGAGAGTGTTAACAGGCTGTGAAATTTGCTGAACGTTCATTTTCGTAGACTCATCTACGAGGCGATGATTAACTTCCGCCAACAAATCCATCACATGACATTGACGTCCATGAGTACGGAATACTTCCACAAAATTAGATATGTACCAACTTCCATCAGTCTCAGATCGCCAGGAAACGAAACCAGGCAATGTAGTGTAAACAATTACGCAATCGCTCATATAAGGCAATGAAAGCCAAGAAGAGGGATCAAGAGAGTGGTCTATCGGAGCAGAGTCCATGAGGTCTTTGCGTATTCGCACTGCCTGAGCTCGGACTTCGCCACGACAAGCTTGGAATACCAAAAGTTTCGGCTTCCCGGCAAGCCTTGGACAGTTGGGATTAGTGAAACACGACGCAAGAGTATCCACACTAACCAACACACCATCGGTAGCTATAATATGGTGTTCAGAACCATGAGCCAGGATAAAAAGTGCGGCTGCATGCGCATCCTCGTGCTCCTTCATACTGGCGAAATCACGTACCGACCGCTCCAACTGACTACCGTTCAAATTGTGGACAACTGAAACACTGTAGGAAAATTCGCGAAATAACGAGTACAACTTGAGGACATCTTCAGATGAACCCCGCCGATCCGACACTCCAGCAGCTGGTTCGTATTTCTCGATATTTACAATATGCACAAACCCGCGTGGCTCTGCAGTTACTGGGTACGGCTCAAAAGGAAGAGTTTTTTTCGGTTGACCTTCTGTCGGCGGATTATTTAGGGATTCTGAAGTCGTAGTAGAACTTGTAGGACGGGCTGCATCTGCTGTTGCATGGTTCAGAACTTTAGCTCCAGCAACGTTCAAAGCTTCCAAAATACTTGTTTGTTTAGTTTGTTCAAGCGCAATAAGGAAGTTTTTGTAAGCCAAATTACCACACCGAACAAGGATGTCCAGAAAAGTGCGTATCTGATCAGACGGTATGGTTTGAGCTAGAATTCTCAATCTTTCATCCTCGGACACGACACGCTCACCCTCCAGGATGTCCAGAATTTCGTCTAGACGCGATAGATTCTTCACCAAATATGGTCGCGCGGTGCGCAGAGTATCTCTGTCTTTTTTGTCCATGACTCCGTCCTTACACGAAGACGTAAACTCGAGCAACTATGAATAGTTTCATCTCACGTAAAACGTATTCATATTTGTACAAAAAGAGAACAACGGGTCTGAAAAGAGAAATTATTGGGAGGTGATACTGAATCGAAAGTAAAGAACATATAAAATATAAATCCAAAAAATAAAAACAAAAAAATACGTTATATACATCTAAATATTAAAAAGATCAAAAATGGTCATTCATGACCTCCAGAAAACTGCACCAGAATAAAGGTTTCAGCTACCTTTGCATAACCGTTATGCATTTTTGTGCTGGTTTGAATAGTTGTCTTTCGGAACAAATCTGGTCGACTAAGACAAAGGGGTAGGAAGACGACGAATGGTGATAAAGATGCAGAATGTGGGTGCTGGTTCTCGATCGTTCAAAGTCGCTGTCTTTGGCGTTCCATTACTAAAATCCGAGGCTAAAACTCTTCTATGGTCACCAAACTCATTTGATGGACAGTTTCACCATTGAAGACTTATGTATTTCTCTATTCGAAGTTCCATAAATAAAGTGATGACAAATCATGTTGCAAGAAATAAAACACCACCACGAGACTGTACCTTGACGTGGTGTAATGGCTTGTGAACCTCTATGACTCAACGAGCTACACAGAGGGCTTTTATCAAACCAGGAGATCTTATCATGTCTGGAAGGTCGAAGGGTAGAGATCGGAAGAAGTCCAGTCGCCTGGTCCTTCAGGTTGGGAGTTTCATTAGCACTGGCGTTTCATTTGGTAAAAAATGGTAGAGAGGTAATCGATCCAAGTATAAGGGCCTCCACTGTGCTCCACTCGCTTACTTTCGGTCAGGATTTTGTCAAACTGAAGACTTTCGACGGAACTCTAATCGTTCTCCCGCTTAACCTAACAGTACCCGTCCATCAAGCCCCAAAGCATCGAATTTTGGATCCCAGTACTATAAGGCACTTGAGCGCGCTAGATTTGTCTTCGAGATACGTTCTTCGCACATCAGGCGACGACGAAGCCCGCGCGGTAGGTCAACGTGGGGTAGGTATTGTGCTCAGTAATACGGCTAAGTCCACTCTTATCGATTGGATTCTCGTCAATAGTCATTTATGTGCAGTTCGCCTCCAGGGTTCAATCAGTATCCGGAAGAGAAGAAACATCAAAAGGTGTTTGTTCGTCCTATCAGCATAGGCACCGACCAATTGCAGTGCTGATACGCAAAAGGACGCTTTCTACGATGAACTCACCGATCTCATTCGCATGAGTCGAAGCTCCAACATAGTTGTACTTGCAGGTGACTTCAACGCGCAGGTTAGAAAACTGAGCGCATCTGAAGCTTACCTAGGTGGACATTTTTCTCTGCCTTACCAACGAACAGATAATGGCGATCAACTTCTTCAGTTCTGCGCAAACCATGATCTGCTCCTAT